GGGGGTGTGTGTGTGTGTGAGGGTGTGTGTGTGAGGGTGTGTGTGAGGGGGTGTGTGTGTGTGTGAGGGTGTGTGTGTGTGAGGGTGTGAGTGTGTGAGGGGGTGTGTGTGTGAGGGTGTGTGTGTGAGGGGGTGTGTGTGTGTGTGAGGGTGTGTGTGTGTAAGGTTGAAGGGCCAGAGGTGGTGGGGCTGCAAAGAAAAACCTAAGCATATAGGGAAGGGAAGACCGGGATGGCAGAGGGTGAGAGGAGGAGAGGGACGTGGTGGCACAGAAGCGCAGCCGGAACGCCATGGGCAGGCGGGGGATTCTGTGCGGGCAGAGCCGCGCCGCTTTTATTCTCTCAGGAAGAGCAGGGGGTGTGTCCCCAACATGACCGGTTTGGGTTCAGAACTTCTGTGGCGTTTGCGGTCTCATTCAGGGGCCACAACGCAGGAACCTCGGCCCTGGGGGTTCCCCAAGCGACTTCGAGGCAACGTAAGCTTCGGAGGGAGAGAGGGAAGGTGGACGGGGCAGGTGAGGCCTGGCGGACGGGGGTGAGGGCGGGGATGTCTGTCCCAGGATGGAAGGACACAGGGCCGGGGGAAGCATGGACAGGGTGGGCAGGTGCCTACGACAAAAGCGCGCGCTGTGACCCGGCTGGCTGTGCGGGCTCAGAGGCGGACCATGTAACCCTGTGCATCGGGCCTCCAGACAACACTCTCCGCGCTCTCCTCCGAGACAGTGCTGCCCTCCGCTTCCGCTGGAAAACATACCCCAAAGCCACCGCGTCCAAGCAGGCTCTGCGGAAGGAAGCTTACCTGGCCGGCGCAGCCTCCAGGAATAACTGCTTTATTTTATTTCCCCTTTTTCTTGTTGGGGATTTGCAGGAAGAGTGGCCCAACACATCGTAGCTATTGAGGAAAGATCTAGAGCCTCAAAATAAAAAAGAAAAAGAGGAAAGAGAAGAAAGAAAAGAAGGAAGAAAGGAAGGAAAGAAAAAAAGGAAGGAAAGGGGGAGAAAGAGGAAGGAAGGAAGGGGGGGGCAGAGAGAGAGAGAGAGAGAGAGAGAGAGAGAGAGAGAGAGAGAGACCAACCACAGGCCCACGCAAACCCGTTTCTGCCTTTACAATCCCTTCCTCAGAGCGCGATGGGCACGCACACGCCAGGTTTGCGGGTGTCTGGGGGAAGGTTACATGGCATGCACACGGGACCTGGCCTGGGGAACACAGAACACGCACTCTGAACACACAGACACGGCGTTTGGTTTGATCTGTTGCAAAAAAAAAAAAGAAAAGAAAAAAAAAAGACTGTATTTGATTACGTGAGTTAAAGTACAGCATCTCTGTTGTTAGTATTAAACGTTAGAGAAATCGGACCCCGCCCCTTCCTTCCAGCTTCCCGAGAAAGTGCATGTAGCGAGTCCAGCAGCGTCCTTCCCACCGAGCCTGGCACACACCCGCAGGGCCCGCGCTCTGCCCAGGCTGCCGCCGTGTGCGCGGGAGGAGACCTATGTACATGTCAACGGAAGTGACGTTCCTCACGGTGTTCACCAGAGCATCCACATTTTTTTCCCTCCGTCGAAGGCTGTTTTCAAGATGCTTGTACGTAGCAGCATTGGGAAATTCCGGCACACGGCGGCCAGGGCGAAGAGACAACACCTACAAGGCAAAAACACGTTCCGTCTCAGTTTCCACGACCAGAACACACCGGCGTGTTCTCTAGAGAGTCGGCGAGCTTCTTAAATCGTACGGAAACCTAGGGACACCCAGGGCGACGCACGTAAAAAGCGCACTACAAGCGCAGTTCAGAACGGAAATGGTTAAATCTACAAAAATCAAAACAAAACAAAACAAAAACCCAGGTCGAATTTTAGGATAAAAAAAAAAAAAAGGCAAAACAAACAAAAACCCCAAACCAAAAAAAAAAAAAAAAAAAAAAAAGAAAGAAAGAAAGAAAAAAAAACAACCCCAAACCTTTCAAAGAACTACACGGTTCAGTCTGTACGACTCAGTCCTTTTCCTTAATTCTGTTTTCGGAAGATGAGACGATGCGTGTGCGTCGAGAAAATGCCCCAGCAGGATCAAAGTGTACATTTATATACAGACTTTATTAGAGACCTAATGCATCACGGGGGCATGGCACCCACACCGGCTTCATATTAAACTGGATATAGAAAATAAGTTAATGCCAGATTAAGACCGCCTAGCAGGGCAACTTTGCAATTGCCATAAATGTTACAGCAAGTTTACAGCACTCTAGTCAATTAGTACTTAGTCCCGAATACAGAAGACCAAAGTTAACGCTTGCAATCCTGTCTGCAGAGCGAGGTTATATCGCTAATAAATAAGCTTTCTTAGAACTCTAGAAGTGGAGCAAGGTACAAAAGAATGTCTTCATCCTGGGGGGAGTAGTTCCAAGATCTGGGGGGGACCCGAGGAGATGGGGGCGGTGGGGGTGGCCACGGGGCGAGGAGGGAGGCTGGGCGGCGGGAAGGCTGGGCCTCGTCGGGCCGGCCTCGCTCTAACTGGTGACTATCTCCTTGCTGTCCTCCAGGAAGCGGGTGAAGCGGAAGCTGGAGGCGGCGTTGTCGCTGCCGGCCATCTTCTCCAGGCCGGCCAGGGGCGCGCTGGGCTCCGAGCTGGGCAGCTTCTCGGGGTTGCCCGTCAGCCCGCCGACGGGCGAGCTGCTGCCGCTGCCCAGGCCACCGGGCAGGGCGGGCACGCCACCGTTCCGGATGACGGAGATCTCGGTGGCCTTCATGGCCAGCCCGTTGGACAGCGCGGCCGCGTACTGGTTCCAGAAGCCGGAGGGGTCGCCGCTGCCCGCCCTGGCCGCCAGGTCCTTGTGGAACATCTCGGGGAACTTGACGGGGTTGCCGCCCAGGAAGGTCATGGGGCCGTCCACGGAGAGCCGCCGGCCCCGCCGTGCGGGCGTGCTGTTCCACATGTGGGTGCCCATGTGGACCTGCGGGGGGAGGGCGAGGGGAACAGGAGACGGAGAGAGAGAGAGAGGGAGGGAGACGCTTAATGGCTGCCTCTTGTTACAACTCCCAACCCAGCAGCACTGAGCCAGCAGCCGGCATGTCTGTCCTCATCAGCGCCGGGCAGCGGACGAGGGGACGGGACCGTCCGCTCCGAAGGCGGTAACAACCACCGCGCTCCCTGCCGCCCCGGCCGCCTCCCCTCCCGGCCGTCGTGCCCGCCCTCGCTCTGTTTTTATGGCCCCCGTTCAGCATCTAATGGCCTCCGGCGAGCCAGGCGGTCACGGAGTGCACCGGCCGGGGTCAGAATGGTTACGTCCACTCTCGTTGCCGCGGCAAGGACTGGATCTGACACCCTGTACTCTAGAAACGTCCTTTCCAGCTGGGGAGAGAGCACCCCTTGGCTCAGTGGCTAGAGCGTCGGCCTGTGGACTGAAAAGGTCCCAGGTTCAATTCCGGTCAAGGGCGTGTACATCTTTGTTGCGGGCACATCCCCAGTAGGGGTTGTGCAGGAGGCAGCAGATCGATGTTTCTCTCTCGTCGATGTTTCTAACTCTCTATCCCTCCCTCTTCTCTGTAAAAAATCAAAATTACATAAAAAAAAAAAAAAAAGGAGTACCCCTGGCTGTCGGCCGGTCGGAGGGCCCCTGTGCACGGAGAGAAAACGGCCAGAAAGCCGTTATTCCTCTCGCCTTTCTGGCAGAAACCTCCGGGGACCTCCTCTGTCAGCAGGAGGATGTACTCAGCTGTTGCTCCAGCGTGGAAGCACACGGGCTTGCTCTCCATCACATGTCAGCAGGCAGCATCGCCTCATTGATTATCAGAATGCCCGTGAGCGGAGGGCTGGTGCTACCGAGCTTGGAAGGAAAAACGGTGCCGCCCGCGTGGTTACGAACAGGAGAGGCTCGGGCGCGGAGAGCTGCCGTCATTAAGCGACCGGGCAGCCCGCAGGCCCGGGGAGGCGTTAATCGATACCCATGGCCACAGGCCGTGTTCCCCGGGAGGTGCGGTCGTGCACTGGGTGCACTTAACGAGACGGGAGACGGTGCCCAGTGATTCGATGCCCGCCCACCCTCTGCCAGCTGCAGCCCGGCCTGGTCCCTGCCACGAGCCCCACCCACACAGCCACCACTTCCCCACGGGCTGCCACGTGGGTGCAGCCACTGTCCCCCAGGGGTCTGGGCACGCATTACAGACATCGCCGGGCCACCCGAGAGGGAGGAGGGCCGAGGGGGGGCCGGGGGCACAGGTACCTTCAGATTGCCTTTCGTGGTGAACGCTCTCCCGCAGATGGTGCACGCGAAGGGCTTCTCGCCGGTGTGAGTCCGCTCGTGGATCTGCAGGGCGCTGGACGAGGAGAAGGTCTTGCCGCACGTGTTGCAGTAGTGCTGCTTGGGTGTCCGCCGGGGCAGGGCCGGCAGCAGCACCGGGGACGTGGCCGAGGGCCCGGAGGGCGCGTGGCCGCCGGCGGAGGGGTCCTTACTGTCCTGAGGAGGGACGTGCACGAAGCCGTTGACCTCGGTCTTGATGAGCGCGGACAAGGGGTTGGCGGGGGGCATCCCCGCCGCGGGGTTCTGCCCGGGGCCGGGGCCGAGGCCGGGGCTGGGCTCGAAGAGCTGGGAGGGGAGGTCGCGCATCTGGTGGGTGAGCATGTGCTGCTTCAGGTTGCCCTTGGTGGAGAAGCCGCGGCTGCAGACTGTGCAAATGAAGGGTCTCTCTTTGGTATGACTCCGGTAGTGGATGTCCAAGGCACTCTGGCAAGCAAACGTCTTGCCGCAAATGTCGCACGCCGTGTTCTTGAACTTGGCCCGGTCCCGGAACGGGAAGAGGAGCCCCAGGGAGTCCTCCTTGACCATCTTCTCCGCGTGGCCCGCCGTGAGGTCCAGGGCCCCGCCGTTGACGGGGGCCGGGGACAGGCCGTTGGCGAACTCGCCGGGGCCCGGCCGGGGCGGCTTCTCCTCGGCGCCGGGCGACTTGCCGAAGTCCGGGGCGCCGCTGGCGGGCGACAGGGCCTGCATGGACGAGGCGGACTCGGAGGCGGCCGGGCTGCCCGCGCTCTGGCTCTCCACGTCGCCCCCCACGGAGGACGAGTCGTTGGTGAGGACGTCGCCGCCCTCCACCGAGCCGTCCTCCACGGCCCTGAGGCTGGCCTGCAGCTGCTCGGCCAGCCCGGCGTCGATCATCCTCATCTGGTTCTCCAGCGCGGCGATGCTGGACACCTCGGGGGGCAGCGGCGAGGACGACAGGCTGTCCCGGGAGGCGTCCGCCGAGCGCGGCGTGCCGGGGATGCCGCCCTCGGGGCAGTCGTCCATGGTCTCGTCGGAGAAGGCGTCGGCGTCGTCGAAGTTCCTCCCGTCGAAGGAGCCGGCGTCGGAGCCCGTGGACTCGGGGCAGGCGCCGTCGGGCAGCGGCGTGTTGGGGATGCGGCCGCCCATGTGCATGCGGATGTGCTGCTGCAGGACCACGGCGTTGGTGAACTTCTTCTGGCAGATGGGGCAGGAGTGCTGCACGCGCAGCGGCGGCCCGGCCCGGTGCACGCTGTGGTGCGTCTTGAGGTTGCCCTTGGTGGTGAAGGCGCGCCCGCAGACCTTGCACTTGAAGGGCCGCTCGCCGGTGTGCGTGCGGTAGTGCATCTTGAGGGCGCTCTGGCAGCTCAGCACGCGGCGGCAGATGACGCACTCGTTGGGGTCGGCGGCCTTGCGGTCGATGTTCTCCACCAGCTGCTGCAGCTTGGACGTCTCGGAGGCCGGCGCGGCGTCCAGGAGGCCCCCGAAGGGGAACTTGGCCTTGAACTGCTCGGACATGAGCGGCAGCAGGGGGTTGGCGAAGGCCGCGGCGGCGCCGGGCGGGCCGCTGTCCGAGGCGGCCGCCGCCGCCGGGGAGCTCAGGGCGCTGCCCTCTTCGCTTCTGCCCCCGGAGGGCGGCCCCGCGGCCCCGTCGGCCTCCTCCGGGGGGTCCCCCGCGTTTCTCGGGGCGGGCTCGGGGGCCCCCGAGTCGCTTTTGACCGAGCCCGGGGGGCTGGCGGAGGCGCGGCTGATGGGGATGGGGGCCGGCTCCTCGGTCTTGATGAAGGGGAGGGTGGGGGGCAGCGGCAGGCCCACGGACGTGGTGAGGGTGGGCAGGACGGGCTTGGTGTCCAGCCAGCTGGTGACGGGCTTCTCGGGGGGGATGGACATGCCGTAGGGGATGCCGGTGCTGGTGGGGATGTTGTCCAGGTGCTCGGGCACGGGGTAGGGGTTCATCTGGATGTGGGGGTACTTCTCCTTGTGCCGCTGGAAGTGCACCTTCAGGTTGCCCTTGGTGGAGAAGCGGTTGCCGCAGACGTTGCACTTGAAGGGGCGCTCGCCCGTGTGGGAGCGCAGGTGGATCTGCAGGGCGCTGTCGCTGCCGAAGACCTTGGCGCAGAAGCGGCACTTGTGCTTGAAGAAGGCCTCGTCCGAGGCTGCGGCCAGGCCTCCGCCGCCGGGCGGCCTGCTCTTGCGCTGCTGGGCCAGGGCCGCCAGCGGGGCCAGGTCCTCGGCGGCGGCGCCCGCGCTGGCGGGGGCCGGCTGAGGTAGAAGAGGGTTGGACGCAGGGCTCAACAGGCTGCTTATCGCGAACGCTGGCGAGGCGACCGCCGCCGCCGCCGAGGCCGCCGCGGGGCTGCCGGCGAGGGAGGCGCCCGGGGCCGCCCTGTCGGAGGAGGACGGCGGCGACGGCGACGGGGCGGTCACCGCCGTGGCCAGGAGGCTCACGTGGGGAGGCGCGCCGCCGTGGGCCGGGGCGAGGGGGTGGCTCTGAGGTAGCTGGGCCGGGGGCAGCTGCTGCAGGCCGCCGATGCTGGCCGACTGGCTGGCCAGGCTCTGCGCCAAGCCGGCGGCGGCCGCCAGCTGCTGGGACAGGTGGGAGCTCAGCGTGGACAGCGGGTTGGCGGCGGGGGTCCGCGGGGCGCCCTGGGCGGGCCCCGCCGGCGCGGGCGGGCCGGCGCTCTGCGAGGCCAGCAGCAGGATCTGGTGGCGGATCTGCTCGATGAGCTGCAGCTGGTGGATCTGCTGCTGCTGCAGGGCCAGCAGCTGCTCCATGAGCGCGGGCACGGCCGGCTTGCCCCCCGCGGGCCCCCCGCCCCCGGCCCGCGCCTCCTGGGAGAACTGGGCCACGGCCACCTTGGTGCTCCGCAGGTTCTCGATGACGACGTTGCTGTTGATGGCGGAGAAGCTGCCCAGCGCCGCCAGGTCCCCGGGCTGAGGTAGAGAGGTTGTGATCGCTGAGGTACCCGCGGAGGAGGAGCCGCCGCCGGCTGGGCCACGGCCACCGTCGCCATCGCCGCCCGTGGCCCCCGGGGCCTCCACCTCCATGGCCCCGGCCCCGTCCCCGTCCCCGGCCCCCGGCCCGCGGGGCTCCGGGGGCTCCCCGCCGCCGTCCCCGCGCTGATCCTCGCTGCCAGGCGTGTCATCGGCGTGCTCCCCGGGGCGCTCGAGCGGGGGGCGGGGCGGGAAGGCGCCGGCCGGGGACGGGGGCCCCTCGCGCACGATCAGCACCAGCTGCGTCTTGGCGCAGCTCTTCTTGTGCAGCAGCAGGTCCGACAGCTCGAAGAACTCGGCGCAGCAGCGGCCGCACACGTGGGCGTCCTTGCTCTTGGCGCGAGGGTGCGGCTGCCCCTTCTCGGCGTGTCCTGCCAACACCGAAGGGAGCAGGTTAGGAAGGGAGCCGGGCCCCGCACCCCGGGCCCTCGCTCACACCCGAGACGGTCCATCGCGGGGCGCCTGCGGAGCTGGACACCGTGGCCCCCGCCAACACCCAGCCACCAGCGCCCGGGACGTCCGCACGGTGAGGACAGCGCCCGGGACACGGTGAGGACACTGGCAGCGTCCCCGCCACCTGGCACCTCCGGGGCCACGGCCTTCCGAGGATTCATCAACACAAGCTACGCTGGCCCCAAGGCAGGGCGCCGACGCCACCCCACAGCGCCTCACACGCCGGCGCCCCCTCGCCCGGAGCGGCCCCGCGCCGCACAGGACCTCCCGGGCCCCGGGCTCCCACCACCCGATGCCACGGCACCTGTGACAGGTGGCTCTGCCACCAACGTCCTCTGGAGCCGTTTGGGTGCCAGTCAGCAGCTGACTGACGAGGCGACACATACACAGCACCCACCCGCCCGCCGACGGACAACCTGGGAGTCACCGGCCCGCCCCCGTCCAGAGCCCCAGCTCAGCCAGATCCGTGACGGACACTCTGTGTTCGTGCCCGCAACCAATCCTCCACACAACTGGGTACAAAAGACAAAGCAACACACACACACACACACACACACACACACACACACTCGAGCACACACACACACACACGGACACACACACACTCGAGCACACATACACACACGCAACGAAGAGAAGCACAAGGATCAGACCCCACAACAAGTCCCGCCTGGCACGTGTGTGTCAGCCGTGGCACAGTTAGCTTTAAACCCAAAGCGAGGACCGTCCATCGCGAGGCTCCGCGTGTGGCCACCCCGCGCCTCTCAGCACCCCCCAAAGGGCCCTTCTGTCTCCGGAGCGGGTGGAGATTACTTTTCTGATTAAACATCCATTGCAAGGAAGATGTGCCTGGAAGGGGGGCAGGAGAAAATTCCTGGTTGCGGAGAGTTTGGAGATGCTTTTGCCTCTCTCCTGGTCTCAGTGCCTTGGGAGGAAACACACAGACACACACGCCACACACACACACACGCCACACACACACACTCACCACACACACGCCACACACGCACAACAGTTTCCGCTTCCCTGTTACCAACTGTTGAACAGATTGTCCTGGACCGTTCAGTGTAAAAAAAAAACAAACCAAAAAAACCCCCCTTTATTTCATGTGCGTTTCCACCGGTTGCTCAGACTTCTCCTTGCTCAGACCCATTTGTAAATTCAACATAAAACTCGCCAACGGGAAGCGCCTCTCCCATTCACAGGCTGCCGGCATCCCATTGTGTGCCCTCCCGGGACACCAGCCTCTGCTGTACAAATGGTGTGTGGCCACCTCCGGGGCTGGGGAACTGTTTAATTCAAGGATTACCTCCCTGCATGCTTTCCTGCCGCCAGAGTCAGATAATAGTCAGTTTCCATGACTTCCAAATTGAATCCCCCAGAAAACTCGCAGGGAGGGAGAGAGAGAATCAGAGAGAGAGAGAGAGAGAGAGAGAGAGAAGGAAGCTAATTGTGAATCTGAATAAACGCAAAATCAAAATGCTGCTTTTTCAGTACACTTAGAGTCAGCTCCAAAGAGCCAGCCTCGTTTGCCTTTTTTTAAATTTTTTTTTTTGTAGTGAACATCAAGGAAGAAAAAAAAAAAAAAAAAAAAAAAAAAGGCTTGAGCGGTTTGGCATTCCAGAAAACATAATTAATACCTAAATACCAAACTTCTGAAAATGCCTCGAGCCTACTGGCCTTCGGGGATGCGGGCGGGCCCGGAGCCCTGCTCCAGGGGACCGTGTGCGTGCCTCGTTCCCGGAGAGTGTTATTTGAGGAGCTAAGTCACACTTAACACGCCGCTTCCCTAATTCCCATCTCCTAATCGCCAGGAGGGTAGGGTGCAAAATGCACTCACAATACCCGGCACATCTGAGCGGCAGCAGCGAGCACCAGTAATGACTCTGTTTTAATTTAATGTCTAATCACCCTAATTGGCCCTGGATTCCTGTGCACATTTGAGGTGCCGTTTTTTTTTTTTTAAGCAGTTTCTCTCTCTCTCTCTCTCTCTCTCTCTCTCTCTCTCTCTCTCTCTCCCCCCCCCCCCCCCCTCTTCATCCCTTCCTTAAAATAACGTAAACAAAATATCCAACGGATTTTCCTCAAGTTATGCCGCTTAACTCGGGACACAAATAATGTGACAAAAAAATTCTTCGTATTTTGACAACCCGTTTTCAAGGACGCATCCATTTCGGATGCTTATTTTTAAATGAGGAAATGCAGTGCCTAATATATTCAACAGAAATGTTATTTCCTTCTCTTTGCACATTTCCATATGTAATGGTTATGTTTCCATCTACTTTTACAGCCAATTATGAAGGAACAAAAGCTATTCTGTTTGTTCACACATTTTCGACAAAATGCATTAAAACTATTATGTCAGCATGTTCTATTAAGCCCCGCATTCAGTGGAAAATACTTTTCAACCAGCTCACATTTATCAAAACATAAAGCCACTTTAAAACGCGGTTTTGCTTGGTCAGCTGGGCTTAGACAAATAATGACAGATTCCGAACTAAATAACCAGCGAGGGAAATCAGAAAACTGACTCCCCGTCAATGGTACACATCACAGTGTCGTCGCTTCAAATATTTAGCACATCTGTGCTCACGATTAAAGGGCATTTTAATTCTCGGTAACGTGCAAACATCTGATAGTCTCATAATATATCGAGAGAAAATAGAGGAGGAGGTAACTTGACGGGACCTGAGCGGGTCATTACTTCCTTTCCCGGGCCCGAGGTCTACAGCGGTGCTGCCTTGAGACTCACTTGAGAAGCGTTCAAGTTTTTCACCCTGAACAGTTTCAGGTTTAAGATGGTGCTAAACGGGCCAGAGAGGGGAGCCGCTGGAAACAGATGCCCGTTGGCGGCGAGAGAGGCCGGTTAAAGAGCTGCTCAGACTGCAGCTTGGGTATTCGCAACACTTTAATAATCTGCCATTTGATCCCCCACCCCAGAGAGGCAACTAATTTAATTTCCTGATGTTTATGAACACCGGGAAAGAAGGAAAAAAAAAATTTTTTTTCCCCTGTTATCTATTCTGATTTCTTTCAAAAGCAGGTGTCGCTACACTGCAACAGTTCTTGACTTGAAACCTAGCTGCGTTCTGAACACAATTCCAATAAAACACGAGGGCTTGTTTGAATCTTGAACGACGAAAGGGAATAGTTTAAGCCGAAATAAGATATACGCGCGCGCACACACACACACAAAAACAGGCTCTAATTCATTTTTCCAACTGTCTGCTACCTCGTATCTCCGCGTAATCTGTTACAGGATCGCAACTGGTGACCCCATTAAATACAGTTGCTGTGGTGAGAAGGACATGCCGGCCCCTCTGCTATGGATTTTGCATGCAAATTAATCTAATTTTGTGATCCTGGTCAGGCAGGAAGATTCGAGAAGGAGGGGGGTATTTTTTTTTTTTTAAAGTATGGACACACAAAAAGATATCTGGAATTTTCTGGGTTTTTTTTTTTGGGGGGGGGGTGGTGATGGAGGGAGAGGAGGGGGGGTGAACTTATAGCTCCATCCAGTGTACACTAAAATCCCAAATGTGGGGTTTTTGCTGTTGTTATACTACTGAGGTACTTGCTGCCCCATTCTAATGTGCCAGTTTTTCCTCGTCTGAACCAAACCCTGCAGCACAGGAGGCAGAAAATGGAAGTGTTCCGGGACCTCTGTCTCCCGAGAAAACAAAAATAACACCGTGCCCCACACAGAAAGGGCCAGCCGGCCAGGGCAAAAAAAAAAAAAAAAAGCCCAAACCAAAACAACACAGCCCTCGGCCACGCTTGGCTTTCTTCTCGGGGCCCCTCAAAAAGCGTGTGTGTGTGTGTGTGTGTGTGTGTGTGTGTGTGTGTGTTTCCCCGCCTTCCAGATCATTCTACCAGGCTCTTCCTTTTGCATGGGCCAGTCGCAAACATTTTTGATGGATTGGCCTTTTTTTTTTTTTTTTTTTTTTTAAAAAAACGGTTGCCACGGACCTGGGAAAAGCCTGAACCTCCGTGCCCAGCTTAAAATTCCCAAGAAACGGTAAACACGGCCCCAGAGGCTGCGCGCCTGTCCCGTCCCGCCTTCGGGGTCCTGGGTGTCCTGCCCGGGCCGTCTTGCAGAGCACAGTGAGATCTTTGGGGTGGGGTGGGGGGGAGAGGGACAACAGGACGCTCCTTTTTAAACAACTGGCATCGGAGCCTCGCAGGGCCCGCGGGAAGGGGGAGAACGGGTCCCCTTGGCGGAACCAGACTGAACACTAGATGGGGTCCCAGCGGCGAGGCTTCGCTCAGGAGCTCCTTTGTGGCTTTGCTCCTCCAGTGACGCGGAAAAGAGAGCCTCCTGAAGGCGAGACCTGAGCTCTGGCTGCGTAAACATTGGCAGGGGCTCCAGAAACCGAATCCCCGTTGTTTGAGGCTAAGACGGAGCGATGGGAATGGCCTGTCAATCTTCCCCTCTGGGGGTCTGGCATCCGAGGGCGGCCAGAGGGGAGTGAGGTTAGGAAAAGGAGCCGGGCTGATAAGGTGAAACGAAAATAAACGACCCACTTCCTGCTAAGTGACTAGCAAGGCTCAATGTGGGGGTCACCGCGGAAGAGGCCGGAGGACACTCGGTGACCTGGACCTTGTCACCTCTGCGGGGGAGGGGGGCCGGCAAAGGTTAAAACAGCCCCCACCAGGCCGGGCTTCCCCTGCGGCGGGGGAGGGGTGGTGGTGTGTGCGGGCAGCTGGTGGCCTCCTCTGCGGGCCAACCTGCTCCGCGGCTTCAGTGCCGGCCCTCGGAGAAACTTGTCTTAGAAAATCCGAGTTAGGAACCGAGCTTGGCTTCTGACAATTTCAAAAAAACCAAGGCGGGTGACTCATCTCCCCATCTTCCCAGGTTCTCGGGAAGGTTTCCACATTAAAACAAAATAAAAACACCAAAAACCCACCAAAAACCACAGGTAGGCGCCCGCCTTTGAAAGGACAGGACGGCTGGTAGAGGCATGGGAAGAAATGGAATGAGGTCCCCAAGCATGACCCACCAGCAGGCCTAGTAACAGGAGGAAGTGGATGTAAAATAACCCCAAACGGCCAGCATCACAAAATTCACCGTCACACACACCGTCTCCCAGGCCCCCGGGGGTGCGTTCCTCTTGAACATTTTAGGGAGTCCGTGCTGCCCCCCGGAAGCCAATCCCCCCTAACAGTTTGCATTGCTTCACCCAGAAGCTCTCCCGATGCCACCAACTCAAACACAGGCCCGATGAGCCATAAATTCTTTTGCAGCTGCCTTATCTTGCAGGTGTTGGTTTTTGGTTTTTTTTTTTTAAAACCACACCAGTTCATTACAGCTCTCTAACCTTCTGGGCCCAGCAATCAATGTGCAGCCATGAAGCTGCTCACGGTGAGGAAATGACTTTGGTAAATAATAGAATTTCATTATTAATATAAGTTAGATTTTTATGCTACTTTACATGATAGTCAATGTCTTCTCTGCAGTTCATGCTGGTTTTTATCTTCCTTCCAATGTTATCTCTTGCTTGGGGGGAAAACACACACACACAAAAAAGAATCTCTGAGCACCAAAAATCCTTTCTTACTAAATGAATGGAGTATGAATGGGTCGTCCACGTAGTTACAGGAATCTTAAAAACACCACCCAAGGAAGAAACACACACACACACACACACACACACACACACACACGCAATCACGCAATCGACATTTCTAGTAAAAAACCCACACCGAAGAAAATCATTAGATTCCCATACTCCCTTCCCTCGGAATTACTTATCTCGGTGAATACTTTCTGCAATGCAGTCATCTTCCCACAGGCAGTGAGACTTGTTGAATATCACCAATGAGACAAACCCTGTTTGCCATCATCTTGGTTTCAGAAGAGACAGAAAAAACGCCTGAAGGGGTTCAGGCACCGCTCTGAGGGGGTTCCCGGACCCCCTGCCTCTCGGAAGTAGAATTAAAACGTGAACATTGTGAGAGGGACCAAAATAACCTTGTTTTCTTGAACTTGTTCCAGTGAAGTTATCCGCGTGGCTGTCCAGCATAGCTCGGGGTTTCTTTGTATGCGTGCACACGCACACACTTACACACAGACAGACATGCAAACACATACATGCATGGCACACAGCACCGGCCCCGGCTGCCCACAGCCTGGGGGTGGGGGGGGCCTTGGCTTCTGGAAGTGGGGCTCACAAACTTTGGAAGGTCCCACTCTGGGCAGAAGTCCTAAATGTGTAAGGACCAGCGCGGGACCCGAGCGTGGGCTAGGTCTAAATGTGGATGGACCTTCCATAGTTCAAGTGGCAGCCTGGGAGACCAGTTCAAGACAGAAGGAGAAGGAACCACCTTATTCTTTTATTAAAAACAAAACCAACAAACAAACAAACACAAAAAGCTAGAGCCCTTACATAGAAAACCCCCAAACTCACAAGTGCTTGAAGGGTGTGTGTGTGTGGTGTGTGTGTGTTGTGTGTATGTGTGTGGTTGTGTGTGTGTGTGTGTGTGTGTTGTGTGGGGGGACTGGGGTGGCTGTCCTCTGCTGTCCGGGTGGCTCTGTGGCGGTAACTCTGAGACATGCGTGTCACAGCCTCCTGGCTCCGTGTCCCTGGCCCGGGCCCGGCCGCGGCCTGTGCGGGGCCTCCTCGGAGGCAGAGCTGGGGGAGGATTAGCTGTGTCCTAATATTATTACAACAACTAAATCCTGTAACCCTCTTACAGGCTCTCCCCCGTCGGCAGCTTCTCCCCAACTTATTGTTCAGCCACGTGAAAACAGCCATCACCTAAACCCATTTACTGCCCGGGAAGGGTGGGGGCGGGGAGAGGTGAGAAAGGGCTGGAGGGGGAAGGTTTCCCGGGGCCCCTCCGTTTACAGCTTCTCAGGACAATGAAGCAGCAGCGCTGGGGGATAAAAAGAGAAAAGGGGGGGGAAAAGAAAGAAAAAGAAAAGAAGAAAAAAGGAAGAAAAAAGGAAGAAAAAAGGAAAGGGAAACTTGACTCAGTGACTTAATGAACTTACCTCTAAGCTCAAATAAACTAAAAAAAAGTCCTAGTAAATAATAATGGGAAGAGGCAGCGGACCCCTTTCATGCGGCGGCTTTATGGGAAGCCCTCACTATTAAACTCAGGATTCCGAAAGGACCCCCAGGCCGGTTCTCCCCGAAGCCCGGGTGTGATTTTTCTTTTCTTTTTGGTGGAAAATGTAGAAAACCTAGACCAGATTTACCAAAAGCAGAGACCACAAACTCCCCCTGCCCCCCGGGTTGTCGGGGTGCTGCCTCTCCACCTTGTCCAGTGTACCCCGGGGCCGGCGGCGCGGAGGGACGTCTCCCCACAAACTTTGGGGGAGCGGAGTGTGGGGCGAGGCGGTGAGGACAGACGGGGAAACCGGCTGAGAAAAACCCGGGAAAATATTGGCCGCAGCAGCTGCGGCCTGGGGTCACTTCACCCCCACTGAACCCCCAGACCCGGCTTCCCCCGGGGCTGGAAAGCGGGGTTCGGGGACGCTTCTCCGAAACCCCAGAGACTTTGGGTCCGGTTTGCCGCCGGAGGAAGGGCTGGGGGTCGGGGGACTAATACAGGAAATCATTTTCCTGATCGGCCTCCGTGCTCCCCGGTTTCTTACAGGGTCCCCCCAGCCCAGGCGAGGGGTGCTGTGTCCCCACCGCCAGGCGGGGTGCAGGGAGCCCGAGTCCCCCGGCCTCCCGGCGCGGCCCCGGCGCCCCAGCCTCCGGAGGAGCAGGCCTCTGGGGACGGATCGGAGCCCCGGCCCGGGCGGCCCGGGTGCAGGGGGCAGGGGTGCGATCGCAGGGCGGCTTCGGAGCCCCGCGGGGACCCCGCTCCGGCCGGCACACCCCGAAACGCCGCCGGGACGCCAGCCTCCCGCCAGACGCCCGGGTCGCCCGGCGCGGCCCCTCTCCGTCCCGGCGCCCGGGGCGGAGCGGCGCCTCCACCGCCTCGGGGCGCGCGGCCCGGCGCGGGGAGCCCCCGAGAGCGGACGCCTCCCCAGACCAGAAGCCACTCGAGGGGTCCTCCGTCCGCCCCCCAAACGGTCTGCCCGGCCGCGGCTCCCGGAACCAAACTTGGTCCCGGACCCGCCTTCCCCGCGGGGCCCGCGGCGGCGCCTCCGCGGGGAAGCGAGGGCGCCGGCTCCGGGGGCCTCTCCGCCTCCGCGGGCTCCGGGGGGCCGGGGCCGGGGTCCTGGGGGTCGGGGTCCCCGGGGGCGCACGCCGCACGGGGAGCTCGTGGGCGGGGGTGCACGTGCCGGGAGGAAAACGCGGGGCTCCGCTCGGGCCGCCCGCGCTGCCCGGGAGCCGCCAGCGCCTCTGCACCCGGACACCGGGGACCCCGTCTTCCAGCAGCTCCGAACCCCGAAAGCCACCCCGGCGGCGGCGCGGGCCCGGATGGGCGTGAGGGCGGCCGGGGGCTCCCGGCCCGGAGTCGGGCGCGGAGTGAACTTTCTTCCCGCCGCGGAGCGGGGCCGCGGGAGGCCTGGCCGGGCCCGGGCGCCGCGGGGAGCGGGGAGCCCGCACGGCCGGCGCCGAGGGCCTCCGGCCGCCCTCGCGATCCCCCGGACCCCGGGCCGCGGCCCCCGGCCCCCGGCGGCCGGCAGGCGGGTCCGGGCTCCGCGCCCCGGAAAAGCGGGGCCGGAGCAGCCAGGCCGGCGGCGCGCCCGCCTCCGCCCCGCGCGGACCGGCGACTCCGGAGAGGTCCCGCCGGGACGGGGTTCGCGCTCCCCGGGCGGCGGGGGCCGCCGGAGGGGACGGAGGACCGAAGAGGAAAAGGAAAAGGCGCCGCGGCGCCCGGGGGCGCGGGGCGGCGGCGCGGGTGCGGGGCCCGGGGGTGCGTGAGTGTGAGCGCGCGTGTGCGTGTGAGCGCGCGTGTGTCCACGGCGCGGGCCGCACTCACCATCCCGCCGCGGGAGCGAGGCCACTTCGGGGTCGGACTGGAAGTGCTGAGGCTTCGCCTGCTTCCTCCGCGACATGCTGGCTCACACATCAGCTGGGGCAGAATAAAAAATTGCCAAAAAAAAATCTTCTCAAAATTACGGAAACCGAGCGGCGGCGGCGGCGGCGGCGGCGGCGGCTCCCCCCGCCCGCCGGCCCGCCCGCCCCCTCCCCGGCCCCCCGGCCGCGGGCGCAGCGCGCATGTGTCCCGCCGTAATTATGATTATCAATAATGCATTGCGATTAATCATAGAGGGGCTCTGTGAGCGGCGATTGGCACGCGGCCAGCGCGATCCAGGCCGCTCGCCCCGATCAATGAGCCCGTGATTTGCTGCGGACCCCTGTCCCTCCGCGCGCCGCCCAATGAGCCGCCGCGGGGCCGGCCCTGCCGCCGCCCGCGCCCGTTAGCCCTCCTGGCGGCCCCCGGACTCCCGGCCCGGCCGCCGGGCCGGCCTCCCGCCTCCCGCCTCCCGCCTCGCGGCCTCCGCGCCCCGGGCGCCCTGGCCCGCGGCCCCCGCCCTCCCCGCCCCCCATCCCTCCCCTCCCTCCCCTCCCCTCCCGGGCGGGGCCGGCCCGAACCGGCCTGCCCTCCCCGGAATGAAGCCTCCCGGGCGGGGCGGGGCGGGGCCGGGCCGGGACCGGGCTGCGGGCGCGCGAACTTCCCAACTCGGGCTCCGCGCGCCGGCCGCGGGGGAGGGAGCCGGCGGCGGGGTGGGGGAGGGGAGGTGGGGGTGGGGAGGAAGTCCCGCTTCGGGAGTGTTCCTTCGCTTCTTTAAGAGCCTCCAGAAAGCAGCCCACCCCACCCCCATAAAAAATAAGCGAGTGGGACAGAGCCGGCCCCACGCCGCCCGCCGCCCGCTGCGGCCCAGCCGCCCGCCCGCGCCGGCTCCGCGCTCCTCCCTGCGCCCGAGCTCTCCGGCCCGGACCCCGGGCTCGCGGGGCGCGCCGAAGAGGACCCAGGACAGGTTTGGGGACGTGATGGGTGGGTTTGGGGGTCGGGGGCGGGGCGGCTCTCCCGGCACCCCGATTCCCCCTCCGAGGGCCCCCCCCCCCCCGATCCCCCGGCCTCTCGCTCGCTCGCTCGCTCGCTCCCCCGGCCCCCTCTCTCTACCTCGGACATTCCCAGGACAATTAGGGCTGAAGTTTTCGGGAGCCGCAGCCCCGAGCCCGTGGGATAAGGGGCGGCCCGGCTCCGCCCAGGAGCCCTCCCGGCCTGCCCCCCGCCCCCCCGCCCGCCCCGGTTGGCTGCAGGGCGCGTCACTCCGCGGGGAGGCGGCGGCCGCGGTGGCGCCGCGGAGCCCGGGGCGGGCGGGGAGCTGGGACCGGCGGCCTGGGCTCCGAGTTCAGCTCCCGCCGGGGGGAGGGGAGGGGCCGCCGCTTCCCCTGCCCGCGGCCCGGCCCGGCCCGCCGAGTCCCGGGCCAGACCCGTCCCCAGGACCCCTGGGCTCCCCGCCTGGGGTGGGGGTGCTGGTGGGGGCGCACCCCAGACTCCCGGCGACGAGGTGGCCGCGCCGAGCCGGGGGGAGGGTCCCCGCCCGCAGCCGTCTGGCCCCCCCGGAAGCTCGCTCGCCTGCGCCTCGGGCACTTGCCGGGCGCGGCCCCCAAAACTTTTCCCGGGAGCTGCATCTCCCCAGGCGCGGAGGCAGCCTCCCGGCCCGCGCCCCGGGGAGCCCCGCGGGAGCCGGGGGGAGGGTGCCCGGGCCCGCGCCCTCCCTGCGCCGGGCTCGGCGCCTGCGAACCTGCCGCTGCGTCCTCGGCTCCGCCCGGCTCTTCCCCGCGCGCCCGGGTGTCCGCGCTCCGGGCTCCCGCAGCCCCGCGCCCCGAGGACAGACTGAGCCTGGCCGCGCGAGGGGAGGCGGGGGCGGGGCGGGGGTGTCCAGATACACAATCCCTGCCCTATCTCGCCATCGGGGAAGGAGAGGGCTCCTGAGGACGCCCCAATTCTCCAGCGCCCTCGAGTCTGGTTCGTGCGAAGTGGGCGCCGATCTTCCGGGCTAGGGTTTCGGGGACACCGGGCCCTCCCTCCGCGCGCTCCCCCGGAGGACTCGTCTCCTCTTCGTTTCTTTGGTTTATTATTATTATTGTTATTATTTTAAATCTCAATATTATGTGTGCGATGGTGAATGTTTGTTTTCCTCTTGCCGATACCCCCCCCTTTTTAAATTATAACTTCTTTCTCCTTGTTTGCCTTTCCTCCCCTTTTTTCTCTTGTCCCTCTTATTTTTCCCCCTCTCTTCTGCCCTCGCTGAGTCCCTCACACTCACACTCACATTCACGCACTCACACCCACACATACACACACACACACACACACACACACACACACACACGCACCCCGCACCCCGCTCCTCTCCCTCTCTCCGCAGGTCCTGCGGGTTCCCCTAGATTTTGATAAAAAGACAAACGCGGCTCTCCGCGGGGCTGATGTTGAAGGATGAAGATAATAATGTTTCCATAGGTGGTTCCTCACATGCCATTATCTCTCCCTGAATATTTAAAGAGACCCCTCAGCCAAGATGGATCTGTGCGCTCCTGGGCGGCGGGCGGCGGCTCGCCTACCCCAGGCCCCGGCGGGGAGCGCGCGGAGGCGCCGGCGAGCCCCGCGCCCACCTCCCCGCACGCGGCGGTCCTCCCCGCGGCGGTCCTCCCCGGCGCTCCCAGGCGTACTCCGGCCCCTGGAACCGGGTTCCTCCGCCCCGGCCCGCCTCCTCCGGAGCCGGGAGCCGCCCGCATCCCGCTCGGGCGATCCTGGCGTCTGGAAGCCGGGCCTCGGGGCACCGCGCGCGGCCAGGAGCCCAGCGGCGCCTTCCGTCCGGGACGCGGCGCGGCGCGCTGCAGGGCGCTCCTCCGGGGACGCTGCCCGCGCGTTGAGGACGGGGTCTCCCCTGTGATGAAGGAAGAGGGGGTCTTCCCCCCCCTGATCCCCCAAAACAAGCAACCAGACGAATGCACACGCAGCCCCGGCGGCTCCGCGGCTTTGGCTGGAAACCGGCGCGCAGAGACCGACCGAGGCGGGCTACGCAAACTTTCCCAACTTTCTTCCCGGCCCCGCGGCCTCGAGGGCGCAGAGGCGATGGGCGCCCCGGCCCCGCGGCGGCTTCTCCCGCTGTTTTCTTGTTTGTGTTCCCTCCTTGGCCCGCGGCGGGGAGAGGGGAGCGGGGCGCGGAGGGGGAGCAGGGCGGGGGGAGGGGGAGGGGGTCGGGGGTCGGAATGGCGCGGAGAGGAGAACGGGTCGCTATTGTGGACGGCGATGCATCCATTACCGGCCATTGTCTCCGGACCAGGGCCCGCGGTTCGGGGGCGCCGGGGTGTCAGGGCGCGGGTGAGGCTCGGGGCGCTCCTGCGAGGCCGAGACTTAATTAAATTAATGAAAACGGGGACGGAGCGCGGGTTGGTCTGTACTGTTGAGCGGCGCTGCGGGCGCCAGCGGGGTGCCACCCCTGGGGTCCATGCCCGCCAGGAGCCTGGTCCGCAGGGCGCCCCCCCCCCCACACACACACACCTTGTCAGCTTTGGGCGGAGCGGCGGCTGCTGGGGAGGTTGGGTGGCGGGTTTGGACTTGCGGTTCCCAGATCAGGGCCTGACACTTGGGGGCTGATCCTCATTAGGGCCTGGGGGTGCTCAGGGTCATGACCTCTGTTGGGCCAAAAAGAACCTCACTAGATGCCAGGGGTGGGGTGGGGGGGCTTGATGCTTGGGTTTCTACCCAGTCTGCCCCCTCAGGTTTCCGGGGACATAGGGCGTCCTTGGTAGCTTAGCTTTGCCTAGCGGGGTGAAGGGCTGTACCCCAAGGCCGCAGGCCAGGACCGAGTCCCCAGCGAAGCTGTTTCCTTCAGGCCTGGCCCCTGGAGAGGGGAGAGGTGGCTGAGTCTCCCACCGCAGACCCTCTTATTCCGGCCCAGCCTGACCCCGCGGGCCGGGATGGGGTCTGGGGTGAGGCCTGCCGGGCCCTGGGCGCTGGGTGGGCACCTGCGCCCTGAAGGAGGCCCCACTGTGCCTGCGCCCGAAGCCCCCCGCACCCCCCATCCTTCCTCAGTCCCAGGCCCTCTGGACCTGGCCGGGCAGGAGGGCAGAGGGCAGGGGAGGTTTCGTTTTCTGATGCCCCGAGGAGAGCCGGATGGGGTGCCCTGGGGCGGGATGGGGAGCCCAGCTGGGAGATCAGGCTCCTATCCCTCCCCTCCCTGAAGGGGGGAGGGCCGATGGGGGGGCATGCCTGTTGGGATGGGGGTGGGTTTGTGTTTTTCTTCCTGTGAAAGCTGGGGGTGCGGAGGGGGAGAGGGGAAGGACTGAGTGATCAGTACTCCAGCCCTCCCCTCAGGACTCCTTTCCGAGGGATGGCGCTGAGGAGGGGAGGGGAGGGGGCGTAGGGAAATGGCAGAGAGCAGGGAAGACCACTTTGGAAAGACCTGGGGAGCCAGGCTGTTTTCCAAGCCCAGGACTTGAAACTCCTTTCCGGATCAAACTGCTGTCGGCACAGCCTACCCTCTCCCTCCAGGGCCGCTGGGGCTGCTTCGGACCCGAGGCCCTGGGCACAGGCGGGCTGGGTCCCCGGGGTCTCCCCTGTGCGCCCTGGCTCTCCAGTGGCCAAGTCCCCCCACCCCCTCCCCGCCAGCTCCCCGGAGCTGAGGTTGTCTGTCTGCAGCTTCTCGCCCGCCCGCCCGGCAGCCTGGGGACCAGCGTCCAGGGGCCGCCGGTGCGGGCATCTCCGCGGTGGGCGGTCTGGTCTTGGTGGCCAGAGCTTGGTTCCTACCCACCGGCCCTCCCCAGGGCCTCACGCCGCCGCCCTCACAGCAGACTCGGTCCGTCCTCTCTGCACTCAGGCTCCGGCTGCGCTGGCCACGGCGAGTGCCCGCGCCTGAGGTCTGACTCCCCGCGCCCCGCGGGCAGCAGCCTGGCCGAGGGGCTGCGCGCAAAGCCTCGCAGAGGAGAGGGCTCCGGGCAGAGAGAGGGGGAAAGACTCAGGGATCGATTTTATGAAAAGAAAACCTTGGCTGGTCTTCGGAGCGTGAAAAATAAGTCCGGCCATCGCCACGCAGTG